TGCGCCTTCTACATGTGCAGGATTTCAAGATCAGGGTTCCATGCTGTAATCTGAAGTCACAGATGCCCTTACCCTAAACGCCAAACTTACAAAAGCTTGTACCCACTAGGCCCATAAACCATCAACTCTTGAACCCTAGTCAGCCCCGACTGTTGCAGCATTTCGTCGCAAGTGGGAACGTGGTTTAGGGTTTATGGGTTTTAGGTAGTCTGGCACAATTCTTTCGTGGCCCGTTGTCTGAGCCTGGAGTTATATAGAAATCTCAACAGTACTTGCCCATCTGCTGTCACATACGGTTTCCCATATGCAGCCCACAAGGCTCATTCCACGTTATCCGTTCCCCTCTGAAATCAAACTTCAGTCCACACACTTAGGGATCGTTTTCGAACCATTGGGAGAGGACATTCTATAGATTTGTGTAACGTGCCTACCTAACCCCCCTATGCCCTGATTCTTTTCCCATGCAGCTAAGGCGAGAGGGGCATGGAGATTGTCGTGCTCCTCCTTGCGTACCTGGCTTTGGAGTCTGCTTTTCAGTTTTATGCTCCCAATACCCAGCTGCCTTGCCGAAGACATTGTTGGCATTTAGCACTTTGCATAAATGTTAGAAAAATAATGTCGACCCAAATAAGTATAGTGTAACCTTTAGCACAGGGTCTCAAATGGATTCTGGAGCTGAGAACATTCTTCCCATAGAATCCCTGCAGAATTCTCTGGGCCGCCTGGGTCCTGTGATCCAGGTTTCTCATGGCCATTTGAAGTACCTCCTGGACCTGGAAATTAAATAAGTATGATACGGGCCCCAAACCCACCAACTAGAGCCGAAAAGACTATTATCCTACATACTTCTATATTTCAAGGTTGTTGCTTTCGAGGGGCAAGCCTAACTGTTTGCAATCGCTAGCGCGCCTGTCACACCTCGACTGTTGGGCTTGGCCTGCTCTTCGAAAGCAATGTACTTTTGCGCGTTTCTGGAAACTTGGGACCCTACTGTTGATACTAAAAATCGTGCATGACCTTAGTATACTACAAGGCCATAGTTCCCAACGCATCCACTTTAGGACTTTTATGGGCATGATTGCAGCTTCAGAAAATCAGCTGTCTTTTCGATTTTTGTATTGCCGTGGTGGGGGGCAACGATGTTGCTTGCTGTGCCTCATGCTTGCTCCGATGCAGAATGCAATGCCCAATTCTTAGAAATGGGGAGGCAGTCCAATCGCAGTCCAAGCAGAAAAAAACTGGGTTGCTGCTCAGTCATTGCGGAACTTAGACTACATTACTGACATAAGGAAACATCATTTACTAGATACCTATAATATGGTTAACTTTAATCCCTAAGCCTTAACCCTACAGCAAGCCTTAAGCCTTATATACCCCATACTGTTGATGGATGAAATCTCGCACCGCCTTAAGTCCCTCTAGGTGGTGCAAGATTTCATCCATCAACACTATAACGGCAACTACATTTGAGTTCTTTAACCTAGGAGGATCTTGAAAATAGAACCCCCGTGAATGGTACCTCCTACGAGGGTTTAGGCTTTCGGGTGGTTTCTAAGAACCCCCGAGGGGGATCTGCTTTCTAGATCCAAACCCTAAACCTTAAATCCTAAACCCTAAACCTTGAAAGGGGGAGGAGCAGGACGTGGGGGTCGCGCCTTGGGGTTTCTACGGAATTCCGGGAACCTGGGAGTGAGACTCGGGGATGGGTAAAGGGAGTTTGGGTTTGAAGGTTTAGGATTTAGGAGGTTTAGGGGTTTAGGTTTAGGAGTTTAGGGTCTAGGATTTAGGGGGTTTAAGGGATTTAGGTTTAGGGGTTTAGGGTTCAGGATTTAGGGGGTTTACGGGGTTTAGGTTTAGGGGTTTAGGAGTTAGGGGTTTAGGGGTTTAGGTTAAGGGTTTAGGTGTAGGGGTTTAGGGTTTAGGGGCTTAGGGTTTAGGGTGGTTCCAACTGGCTTGAGGGAATCCCCCTTAAGGGTCTTTTTGGGAATCACACAATACGGTGGGCCAAAAAATGCTGCATGACCTTAGGTACCTTATACCTGGGGAACTACGGTACTATAGTATATTAAGGTCATGCAGGATTTCGGGTATGAAAAGTAGTAATTAGTACAAGTACGGTTATGGGATTTCTGCTTGGTAGATCCTCCCAGGGGTCTTCCCTAAACCCTAAACCCTAGGCTTGGACTGCATTTTGCAAGGTGGGGCCAGATGCCTTTTCCTTCTGATGGCATGATTAGGGCCTTATCTTCGAATGAGCTATAGTCTAAACTCCTTGAAGGGGGTTATCTATGGGGAGGGTGATCTAGGAGAAAGGGGGATCTATAACTCAAATTATCTTCGAGTTGTTCAACACGAGCACTTTCTAGACATGAAAGCCCGGATTCACTCATGCGCATCACGAGTCTCCAGCTTCTCATTACGGTGGACCCTTCCCTCCTGCCCCTAAACCCTAAACCCTAAACCGTTGGACCCTTCCCTCCTAACCCTCAAGCCCTCAGCCTCTGATTAGGTACAAGGCGTTGTGCCCGAAAAATGTCATCGTGCTGCAAGGAGCCTTGCCTTAGGGTTCAGGGTTTAGGGTTAAGGGCTTAGGATTTAGGGTTTAGGGTTTAGGGTTTGGGGATTAGGATTTAAGGTTAAGGGTTTAGGGTTTAGGGTTTAGGGTTTAGGGATTCAGGGGCGCGGGGATTTGTGCCAACTGTGTGGGTTTCAGGACTGGAGTTTAAACCGAATTTTGAAGGATGTGTTCTTTCGAGTTTTGCTCTGTACAATTTGTACTTATCCGGGTGGTACACGTGAGAATTTCCAGGAATGGCCGCCCTAATTTTGCACACTAGTATATTGCAGTCCTCAATATACTCCCAAAAATGGACTCCTGCTTTAGAAACTAGAGCCTAAACCCTAAACCTTCATAAGCCCTAGAACCTAAACTCCTGAGCCCTAAACCCCGAAATGGTAGTTTCCCCAGATAAGGGACCCCAATATCGACCCCAACATATTTTTATCCTACAGAGAGCCCCAAAACAGTAACCCTAATTTTGGGGAACCCTTAAACCCTAAACCCTATACAAACACTGTATAACCCTATATATCCCCTATACAACCCCTTTAAAGGTACCCTAATTTGGGAGCCCCCAAACCCAAATGACTTTGGTAGAGCCTTGCCATGCCAAGTGCTTGGATGCATGACAGACGCTGATGCCAGGTAGTAAACCTACCCACCGTATTCCCGATCCATAGTATATCCTGAGTTCCCCCACTACCATCCTCTATACTACCCCACTTAGGTTCCCCATAATTAACCTAAATTAGGTTTAATCATCCCTAAATATCCTTCATTACGGGGGGACCAGGGGGGCTAGTATAGAGGGGGGTAGTAGGGGAACCCACGGGTATAGACATGGGGCATGTGTAGATGAACAGCAAGGGATACACGGGAGATATGGGAATATTGCAATGCAACATCAAACGGACAAGAGACTGGGTAAGTCAGGGGAGACCGATACAAAATAAGGAATGCTTCTTGATGCTCAAACGGAAACGCCGACTACCTGCCCTGTGATCAACAAAAGTAGGAACAATCAGTGTAACCCTAAACCCCGGTATTCTGCAGGGTAGTGTTTTAGGATGGTAACGACTCACACAAGTTTTTTTCGTGAACTTTAGGCATGCCCCTAACAATAAATATTCCCCTTACTATATGATGGTACCACTGGGGCGTGGGGTATTGGGAGCTGAAGGATTATTGTTAGGGGTTTATTACTGAGGGGAGGGGAGTACGTTGTTGTTATAGCGGCTCGGGGCATGGATCGGCGGCTTCAAGTAAGCCTTTCTCAGAATTATCATCCCTGCACTTTTTGACACCCCTGAACACGTTTTCTCTACAAGCTTCATGTAGGGGGGCAGATCGTTCCGCGGCAAAACTTCACTGACCCTGAGTTCTGCACATCCATGGTCAAGCCCTAGCCTTCTCCATGATCAAGACGTTTAGGGTTTAGGAAGTAGGGTTTAGGATTTGGGGTTCAGGGTTTAGTTGTCATGAACCTTGTCAGGCATGGATTGAGGCCTAAGGACTGAGAGCCCGCAATATTGACAAGGGGTTTGAATCTCTCTTTTCAGGCCGTATGGTAGCTACAGGGTCCTCATTATAGGGCTTGGGGTAAACTAAGTCCTCGTTGTTGAATATAGTTGTTTGGCATTCCAAAGGTTCTTTCAAACAAAGGGTACCTAGGCGTTACACTGTGTGTCGCATGCTCAGGCAATCATGAGTACAACATGACCAACGCAAGGCAGGACTTGCATCTTTGAGGGTTGCTGCCAAATAACTGTAAAGGGTTTAGGGGTTTGGGGTTTAGGGTTTAGGGTTTAGGATTTAGGGTTTAGGGTTTAGGGTTTAGGGTTTAGGGTTTAGGGAATCCACGCTACTCACCAAGTATCATGTATCCCTATTATTGATGTGACAGATCCTGCATGACCATAGTGTGCTGCAATATTGTACCAGAAATCCGAAGGTATAAGGTACTCAGGACAATGCAGGATTTTCAGCCATCACCGTATTACAGTTAGTTTGAAGTACGGTACAGCAACCCAAGTTTTAGGGACTGAGCGGTTGGGGGTTTGGATGATGTTTTGTCTTGAGGGGTGTGAGGTGGAACTCTGTAGGCCGTGCCTAGAGTTCTAGGGTGTGCTTAGGGATGATAGACGCTCATGCCTTTTTGGGGAGGTTTTCAGGTAGAATTGTCATCAAATGATCTCGTGTGCTTTCCATGTTGGAGTGGGTGCATCTAGGACCCAAACTCTCGACGCCAAACCGTGTAGGATCCTGAGGCCTCAGGTCCAAGGCCCAGAACCTGGAAACGCTGATGCCCCGGAGCCCCCAAAACTGCCTAGACTCTGCATGCTCGTGACCTTGTTTTTTGGTGAGGTGCGGGGGCGCCACAGAACTTGGGTACCCTCAAGTGTTTTACATGATAAGGTAAGGTCTATAGGCAGTTTCCCAGGTACGGCTTTCATGGAGAAGTCATGTACAAGGTGGGATCGTTGGACATGTGGCAGGCCTTCAACCACGCCTTCTGGCTTTAATGGCGTGATGATTTAGGGTTGGTGTTTAGGGTTTCGGGATTAGGAGGATTTAGGGGTCTAGGGCTTAGGACTTCAGGGCTTAAGATTTAGGGTTAGTACTACGGGACTTCTACGGCGGGGTTCAGTGGAAAAGGTAACCTGGCGTAAGCCCACCCCTCATCCCTAAACTCCAGTCCCATTCCTAAGAAAGGCCGTTCAAGTTACTGGAAACCCTAAACCCTACACCCTAAACCCTAAACCCTACACCCTAAACACCCTAAACCCTACACCCTAAACCCTAAACCCTAAACTCTCAACCGTGAACCCGATGCTTTTTGAGCGAAGTTGGCCTCCTGGAATGCTGCAATCTTGTCCCATGCTCCCGCTCAGATTTGGAGGCTTCCCAACATTAGGAGTACCATTTTGGGGGGGTACCTATAATAACAAACTATGGTATTTTGGGGTCTATATTGTGGTCCCCTATTTTGGGACACTACCATTTGGCAGCTTTGAAAGACCAATGTGGTTCAATCCTTCAGGGGACCCCTGATAATCTCCCTTCGATCCCTGTAGAATACTAGAGTCTTTTGGGTCCCCTACTTTGATAAATTCTCATTGAATGCTTGCGTTGGCTCCTTGAATAACATGTTGATTGGAATCAAGAGTGCCGAAAGAGGCCAACATTGTAAAAACCCTAAACCCTAAACCCCTAAACCCTAAACCCCAAACCCTAAACCCCTAAACCCCGCCTCGGCAGGAGTGAAAGCAATGCTCACGCATACGGGTGGTCGGGGGCGGGCCGTTGGCATACGCCCCAAAACCTGAACCCCCTATGACTCTATCCTAAATGGGAGAAGCACAATTTTGGGGGGGCCCTAAACCCTAAGCCCCCAAACCCTAAACCTCTAACATTTTGGGGTTCAGGCAAAACATGTTTGAGGGCCCCCCTACTCCCAAGCCTTGAGGCCTTGGGAGTCCTGGAATTTCCTTCTTTTGCACGGTGGGGCTGGACAGGGCTAAGGGTTTAGGGTTTAGGGTTTGGGGTTTGGGGTTTTGGGGTTGAGGGTTTAGGGTTTAGTCACCTACCACTTTCGGGGGAGGGGTTGAGATCTGCAACGTGCTTCCAAACGCCATGAGGCTGGATCAGCCTCGGCGAACATCCTTAGTCTAGTAGCTGCTGTCAAGGAAGAGCAATCAAGTTACCACACCCCTCTACAAAATTCCTTAAGCGCAACCCAGTCATAGCTGGGAAGGGTAGTGGAACATTTTGGTCTGTAGGCTCCTTGCTTCCAGCCTCTAGTGGAGCGGGGTTGGGAGCCCAGGGCCCAACAAAGTCCAATATCCCTGAATTAGTGGATGCACCTTAGATCGTACCATTAAGAGATATATGGACTTTCTGGTGGATTAGGATTTGGGGGTTCGGGGTTAGGGTTCGGCGTTTTGGGCATAAGGCTTACGGTTCCAATCTTGTGTGGGTCAGCTCGGAAGTGCAGCTACACATTGAGCATTGGGGCTCATATGAGCTATAGTCTAAACTCCTTAAAGGGTGGTTATATAGGGGATCATATAGGGGACTACTATCGGGGTTATTAAGGGGGATACTAGGAGTTTAGACTATAGCTCATATTATATGCTGAAAGGTACCTACTGGTTCTTTGTAGGGAATAAGGGAATATATATTAGACAAGGATTATACAGGGATTGTAATCCCTTAGTGCCTACCAAGAAACAGTAAGGATAGGCCAAAAGGCCTTGAGTTCCATAGGAAACCCCAACGCGCGGGCGCTATGCTTGTCAGAACAGGCTTATAGGGATGTTCTAGCTATAGGGCCATTACAGGTTCTGGCAAGCTTTTAAGGGACAAAGTGGAACTTCAAACCTCAAGGGTTTAGGGGAACTATCCTAAACCTACCAAGACCTGCCCCAAACCTAATCTACCCCGAATCTGAGGCCTCACACCCTCCCCCTGGCCCGACCAGGTATTCTCGTTGCTGCCTTTTGTTGCCGTGTCCGCTGGCAACTTCATGGCGACCCATGGGGGCATCTGGCATGGGTATCATCACATTTGTTAGATACCTTCTTTTTAGCCATGCAGAGGCATGGTAGTGGAGCCTACCCAGGCCCTTGCAAGACGTAAGAGTAGGGCCCATGCTCCCACCATGTTGGTGTTACAAGCCATATGTATAGGTATTTGGGAGTTTCCACATAAGATATTAATCCCAGAACCCTAAACCCTAAACCCTAAACCTAAACCCTCTGGACATTCAGGCATCACCAAAGACTTTGTGGCATCCTGCGAAGGCGGCCTTTTTGTTCATCCGGGGTGTTTATGGTGCACAGCCTCTTCGGGTTGTGTTGCCATCTTGAGGGACAGAGAATATTTGGGGGGGGGAACCCTTCCGAACTTGCGATTCTGTCTGCGGGGCACTTCCAGCAGCACCTTGGTGGTACTGCACGCCGACAAGTGGAACGGTAGGTATGCTTGTTTTCGTATGCAGTTATAGTACCCCTTAAGTAGATAGAATATGGCTTTGGGTATATTATAATAAGATCCCCATATACCCCATATTCCATCTACATAAGGGGGACTATAGTACAGGAACTGGGCATAGGCAACCTTCAGTTTTTGGGGCCAGACTGGGTTGGATCTCAGCCTCTGCCTTGAGAAGCTTTGAGAGCCCCTGGGTTAGGGTTTAGGGTTTAGGGTTTTTTCGATATTTCCCAACTCTGTCAGAGGCTTGCCAACACCTTCACCAAAACCCCCGGCCCACAGAAGAACACCCCCAAACGCCATGCAGCTTGTTCAGCATAATGCCAATGTCGATAATGGTGACGATGATGATGATCATCGTCATCATGAGGTTTCACGTGAGTAGTAGTTTATTTGGGGATACTATGGTACCCAAGATAGAGTAAGATTCTATCTTCCTTTTGGGTATAGTATTTTATACAAGGAAAATAATCTTACTAGGTTCCACCACCAAAAAACGCTACTCACCTAGGTCTTTGAAAGGCAAGGATGCAGTGCCGCAAGTGCACACGATCAACATATGAGCTGTAGTCTAAACTCCGTAAAGGGGGCTTATATGGGGCGATATTTAGGGGACTACTGCAGGGCTTATTAAGGGGGATACTAGGAGTTTAGACTATATCTCATATCATTATGCTGCCCTCTTTTTCTATGGCCACGGCGTTTCTCGAAGTCAACGTTGCGGAATGGCCCCGAAGATGGAATCTCAAGCCTTGAATAAGCAGCTGCTGCATGTTGCTTTTGGGAGGGGTCCAGAGCAGATAATGGTTACAAAAAAGCCACCGGCGCAAGGCGCTAATGGAGATTTCAGAGAGTGCCTCACTTACGAGATGCTCCGGCACAGCTATGCAAAGTTTTGCTTTCTTTTGAGTTACCATTACGGGAAGTGAATCATGCTTCCGTTGTACGGAAACCATACAGTGTACTGTGTGGGCATATCATATGGTAATTTGCCTTGCGTTCACTAATAGCACCCCAGATTCTGCGAGTTGGTGTTCCTGAAGCCCTACGTTGTGCCAAGTCTTATTTCAAGTGCAACCTGAGGCCAGAAGCCTTCACTCTGAACCCCCAGAAAGTCAAACATCACCTTATTAGAGAATATGATTTACATCACATTAAGGATCCTAGTGGAATTTAGTGTATATTTCCGAAGTAAAAGATATTGGACTTGCTGGGCCTAAATCCTAAACCCTATCCAAGGGCTCCTTCTATGTAGTTCCTGTTGGTGCTTTGTTCTGAAAAATCATATCAAGCTCTTTGGTAGGAGCATTTAAAAGACTACTTTGAAGGGAACTGACTCGAAGGTTCTGGGTAGATTGGAGTCCCGTAACCTGCCGCCCAAAAGAAGGATCGAGGCGTCTGGGCTTTAGGGTTTTGGGTTTTGGGCTTAGGGAGATACAGTGGGACCTTTGTCAACTAAGCCAAAAATCCTTATAATCACCCTAATCGCTGCTTGAACACCCTATACCCAATAGTCTCGTCAGCTTCGACAGAAGCACCAACCTCATGCCATAGTGTTGAGACCCAAAATCTACATCCAATACACGCCCTTATATCCCATAAAGCCATTTAATGTTGCTCTTTCTTTAATGTTGCGGGTCCTCCCTCCACACGCAATAAGGGTCCGGAAAATTAGAAATTAAGCGTCGTCAATAAGGATCCCACAGTACTGAGGGCCCCGCGAGGCCTTGAGGATTACTTTATGGGGGATGGTCTGGATTCGGTCCCGTATTTTCGGGCTTCAAAATCGAAACGCATTACTTCCCAACAATGGCCTGAAATTGAGTAATCGGCAGCCAAAACACATCATTCAAGGTCTCTTCATTAAAGCCAGTGCAACATTGAAAAGGACCCCAGAATTTCTGAGAAGCTCCGGGTCGGACCCTGACACTGAACACTCCATTAGGAGATGAGAATCATATACCCATATAGAACATCTGACAACCCGTTCTACAGGGCCCAAGAACGATCTATAATATTGCAACACGCGGACCCCCCCCAGTCATAGCCACCCGATTCCAAATGATAGATATCTATAATAAGATATCGTTACATAACGGGGTGAATACTCATCGCTAGGAGCGCGTGGGTGGTTATTACTCAGGTACGGGGAGAATTCGGACCTGAACCTATTCCCTACAGAACTTGGGCCCCTGAAGTGCTGAGGAGCTTTAGGGGACCAAGTTCTGGAGGGAACGTACTGAAGGCCTCTGAACCCTAAACCCTAACCCCCAAATCCTGAGCCACAAAACCTTGTCCAACCAACTTACTCTTTCCTAGGGTTCAATAGCATCCAATGAGCTCCAGATAGAGGACCTGGCTGTCAATAATCAAAAAAGAGTCCCGCTATCCCCTTGTTACCATGATGGTCCCTAAACTTGAAAGCCTAAAACCTAAGCCCTAAATCCCTAACTGTAAAACCTTAGTCCTAAACTTCCTAAACCGTGTGATTTCCTGAGCCGAGCTTCTCAACCCTGAGTGCTCAAACCGTACACCGGTTGGCTAATGGTGATTCTAGTACAGGTTTTGGGCAGGTGTATGATTATTGGGTACTTGGATCCTTAGGCTATGTTCGAAGCCCGCAACCAAATTGATGGACCCAGCGCCAGCGCCATGGGCAGGCAGAAAATTCCACTGGGGTCCAAAACACAAGAAAAATAGACCCTAAACCCTATTTAGCCCCATTATAGGAGTTTCCATTTTCTTTGCCATTATCCCTATATATACCCATTGACCCTTAAACCCTAAACCCTAAACCCTGACAGCGAGGATTGGGGTTGGCGCCTCCTGGGCAGATCCGCACCCACTTCAGGGATGGATGCCCTCACCGAAGTCTGGGCTGATTTTGAGGGGCTTAAAATTTAGGGTTTAGGGTTTAGTGTTTAGGGTGGGCTGATGTTGAGGGGCTTAAAATGTAGGGTTTACCCAGAGTATGGTAACTTTGTTTAAATTCCGTAGCGGCAACCCAGTTTGAGATTTATGGGTGTCTAGATGACTTTAACCCTTAACCCTAAACCCTGTGAGCCTTGAGAGCTTTAGGTTTGCAGATGGCTGTCGTGGGCGTGGGCTTTGGATTTCAAAGCTTTTGGGCTTGCTGATTATAAACTTTAAGGGTCCGAGTACCCAATATTTGGGTACTTGGGATTTGGGTAATAGTAGTTCCATTACAGGTTTTGGGCAGGTATATGGTTATTGGGTACTTGGACCCTAAGGGAAAGTTCACTTTAGGGTGTAGGGTTCAAGGGCTAGGATTAAGAGATTCGGGCTGGTTGGGGTTTAGGTTGTACTTGACCCCAGACTAGCTGAAGGAGAGCTGGTTGACTCTTGTGAGGGGTTTTCGGCCATTGTTCTACCTTAGGTGGACCCCACCCAATAATAGTGACTATAAGCGATAATGGTGATGATGTTAAGGTCCTGGTATATACTGTATTTTCCTAGTATGTCATTATGACAGGGTGGGGGTCTGCCTCAGTTCTGCCTCTTTTTGAGGTCCCGGTAGAACTGAGATTTAGAGTTTGGGGGGTTTGGGGTATCAGGGTTTATGCTTCCCCTACAGCCGCCCCCAATTAAGGGGGAACCTATAGGGGGTGGTAGGGAAACCATGCGTTTCGGGTCCAAGGATAACGGTGTAGTCCAATTGTTTGAAGGTTTGCATGGGGGCAACAGGATTGTGGTCGGATTTAGGGTGCAGGGCTTAGGGCTGATTGTTTACCGCTCTTAAGATTGGTTGAATTCAGAAACATCGGGGAGCAAGCACCGTGTCATAGGTTTTCCAGTGTTTGGGGCTCATGCGTGGATCAAGCGTGGCTGGAGCCTTTACCTGTGAAGATGAACCCTCTCAGAGCCTCTTGCGGCCTCCAAAATCGAGCTCAGGAGGGGCGCCTCCATTCAGCGGCATGGGAAGGATGTGACTTGGTCGAAATCAAAAGGGTGCTTTCCAAACCAGGGTGAGCCCTGATCATAAACGGCACCGTGAAGGCATGCATTCCTCAAAAACATGTCGGGGACTCCCATCAAGGTCTTAACAGCAAGGTCTTGAGTGAAGATGAGTAGTAATACTAGTAGCAATAACAATGATAATAGTAATCATGATATTAATAATAATAGTATTCATAGCAATAGTAATATTAGTAATAGCAATAATAGCAAAAAGGGGCTGAAGCTGGCGGGAGCTTTAGTGCTCACGTTTTGGAGCGGGAAGTACGCACGGCAATCCATGCCTGTCTGGATTCCTGTTTTCCTCAATCCATTCTACTACATTACCCAACCTTATTCTAGTCACCTAGTCATTTCAGGATTTTTAGTAGGGTTCCGATTTCAATGCTACATTTCAGTGCTTCAAGGTTTGAGACAATATCATTATTTCCTACGATCTCTGGCAAAGCGCCAAGGTTGCATCCGCTAAGTATGTGAGTGTGCTACATGTGAGCGATAGTTTAAACTCCTTAAAGCGGTTATGTAGGGGATTATTACAGGGCTTATTAAGGGAGATATTAGGAGTTCAGACACTAAACCCGGACCCTAAACCCTAAACACCCTAAACCCTAGAGTTATTAGATGTAGCAATTGTTTTGAGCTTTTCCCCAGATCCAGGTAGCCTGATGTAAGACTCCCAGGAAGACCAAAGTAGCCTGCGCTTCCAGGTTAGGGTTTAGGGTTTAGCCCCAAGAATTGGGCCTTGAAAGGGGCCGATAGGGAATATGTAGGGTTTAGGGTCAGGGTGATATAGGGCTTAGAGTTTAGGCTAATATAGGGTTTAAGGTTTCTCAAAAACAAGGGGTGCCTTCATTAGTGGGGTCTATATTGGGTTCACCTATTTCAAGAACCTAGGGCCTTTCTGGGAGTGGAGTGGGCTTGAAAGTTACTCTGAGTCCTTGGTTGTCTGTACATTGCCACTGTGGGCCAAATGAGGTGTCTGTTCTTACGGCCCTTTAAATTGGGGACGGTACATGTCAGCTCTCAACAAGCACCCTAAACCCTAAACCCTAAACCCTACAAACCCGAGCACATTCAAACTCCCATGATCAACCCGAAGTCCGGAACATTATCAGATGAGTAGCTTTTTATTTGGAATATTATGGTACCCCTTATAGAGTAAGCTTCTATCCTCCTTTTGGGGTATAGTATGTTATATAAGGAACATAATCTTACCAGGTTCAACCACCAAAAAAACACTACTCACATGTCCCTTAAACTTCCCACCCTGAATTCTGAGTTGCGAGTATGAGCCCTGAATTCACAGAACCAATCATGAGCAGTGGCCATGACAACTAGCAGTAGCGGCAGCGGCGATGGCAGAGGCTGCAGCAGAAACAGCCACGGTAGGAAGGGAGGATGAGGAGGAGTGGCAACAGTGGAGTATGAGCATCAGAAGCAGCGCAGCAGTGTGACTTCAGCACTTGGGAAGTTCACACCTCAAGCCTGGACCCTCTGTCCAATCCTGCATCTAAGGTAACATACGAGTTCCTGAAAAGCCATGGCCTGCAGAAGCTTATCCGTGGACATGAAGCGCAGGTGCAGGGTCCAAAGCTCTCGGGGCAAACGTCATGGGGTGTAAGGGCCTACTGAGGCTTTCCTGGGAATGAAGGAGTGTGATGAATGGAGTTGTGCAGCTAATTAACGATCTATTCACGACAATCCGCGGCGGCGGTGGCGACCGTTAGGAGGCCTGCTAGCAGTCATGAGGACGGTCGCAGGGATAGCTTCGCGGATTGTCACTCCTGTACGGAAGAGTGTGCGTAAGTGCACACGTATGTACGCATGTGTACATATAAATATCTACATACATAGCGAGTGGAATTCTAAGAGAACCCTACACCGGATTTTAAATTCGAAATTGCGAGCGCAAGGGGCTTCCAGGATTGGCAGAGGTTTGGAGTTCTTGGTGCGCAAGGTGACGGTCACAGACGTACAGTGTTGAATCGCATTGCTTACGAGGTCTAAGGCGCTATTTTGATTGAGTCTGATTTATCTTGAAACCCTATAATGTAGACTCATGATTATTAAGCCCAATCCCTTTAAGGGCCTGAATACTAGGATCCCTACTATAACCCCTATTACGTATGAATCAGGGGTCTACATGAAACTTAAAGCTGACGCATTTTTTGTGTGGGGCTCCCAGCTCTCCACTCAGATGTCTTTTACCCGCTCGAACAGGTGGCTAAGTGTTCCCATGTACCTACGGTTTAGGGTTTAGGGTTCCCACGTATGGACCTTGTGCAATTATGGCATAGATTGCCCAATACCTCTGTCCTTGCCATGTACATACATCCCTATAAGAGGCAGTCCGGGTAAAGTTTGTCTGCAAGACTCCAACCCAGCGAGTGATGGTTCTTTCTGAAAGTTTAGGGTTTAAGGTTTAGGGTTGAAAGTGTAGAGTTTAGGGTTTAGGGATTAGGGTTCTTGAGATACGGGTCCTGTTGTTTGCAGGCATATGTGGGGACCCTGACTCAGCAACGTTGAGACCCTAAACCCTAAACTTTGGGTCCTGCCCCCACCCAGCAACAGTTCGATAACATTTATCTTACCCCTATTATAGGCTGTTACTGGGTGGGGGCAGGACCCAACCTAAACCCTTGGAGTTTTTGACCTCGAGACAGGCGCACGGACACTCCGTGATCGACCTGGGAACCAAAGGGTACGAGGTTCACACAGCGTCTGGGTTTCTGTTAAGGACATGAAGTTGGGAAAATGAAGCCAGGGCTTCTTCAATTTAGAATCCTGCATATTTAGGGTTTAGGGTTTAGGGTGTAGGGTGTAGGGTTTAGGGTTTAGGGTTATATGGCGGTCCCTTAGATAGATTTATGGTATTTGGCCTCTGATTTGGAGAAAATGCCGTCGGCCAAGCCAAAAGGAAAGGCGAGCTTGTTTGGGGGAACTTGTGCTCTATGCTTTCAAACCAAGCCCTGAAATAAATCCTAAACAACTTAAAGTGTCTAGTGCTAAGTAGGGGATGAGGAAATAGATTATACCACAATAGTATGGTCATTCTATTCCCTTATTCCCTACTAGCCCCAGTGAGCTAAGCCGTATCTAAACCCTAAACCCTAAACCCTAAACCCCTAAACCTAGTACTTAAGGAGCCCCAGGCAGATGTAGGGATTTCCAGGGGGTATCCTCAACAGCAACTCAGGTTTTTTCATCCTCCGACTACTGTGGTGTGCTATGCGTCGGCGAGGACCGATATCCTCTCCAGCCCCCAGAGTCTGGGTTGCCTTTAAGGAACTTAAGTTAAGTTACTCTATTGGGGAAACCCTATTAATTACTATATATACCCGTTATGGTAACTTAATTTAAGTTACTATATTGGGGAAACCCTATTCATTAATATATATATATATACCCATTACGGTAACTTAATTTAAGTTCCTTAACAGCAACCCAGGAGTGGGACCTAAACATGTTTTCGCTCCCTGGTCAAAACAATCTGGGTGCGATCATGTTCGTGGACTTCGCCCAGGGAGATGAGGCAACAACGCTTCGAAATTGGGGTTTAGGGTTTAGGGTTTACGGCTACCGGCATGTTCCGTATTATGCTGGATTGGGATTGGGAATTCTTGGCACAGGTAAATCGGGTGAGCGTGCTTACAAGACAGGGTTTGCTGGAGTGTGGACTTCTAAAAGATTGCCTGGTGATTGCAGCTGCTTTACAAGGTCTTTAGGTTCAGCCTTTGACCAGAGACGTCTTGCCTGGACCTCAACCGTAGGTCAAATAATGTCCTAAGATCCCGCAAAAAAAGCAAACCCTAAACCCTATATAACCCAATATAGTAGTTTCCATTGTCTTTTCCATTATCCCAATACAACCCCAATTTTTGTTGTATACTTTCTGGTTCATGTGATGTCAAAGCAAAGCCCTGAACCCTGAACGACGAAGCCCCAAAATGACAGAATTTCAGAAAATCAGGGGCCGCTAGTAGACCTCCAGCAAGCTACACTTGAGGGGTTACATGGGTTATATAGGGATTATATAAGTGGGTAGCATGGGGGTTATATATGGATTTTATACGGTTATATAGGGGTAATATGGGGTCATACAGGGATGATGGAAAGAACATGGAAGCTACTATTTACTGAGAAGGACTAAAGTACTAAAGTCCTATAAGAGATCGAGGCCTCAGTCTGCTGCATCTGTTGTTTGTTCTTTTCTGCTGCATGGAGTTCATGTGACCCAGCTGATCTTTGACCACGTGCCCGACTCCCCAGCATTTATCTCCAAGACCTCAACTGGGTATTTCTCCAACCAATCAAGGTAGGATCCTCAACAAGGACTGTGCCCGCCCCCCTCACCCCCTTGTTTGGACCTATACTACCGATGCGTGACCTAAACCTAGCAGACTTCACAAGCGGCGCGAAAAGAAACACTAGCCGCCACGTTGTGTGAGTTGCATGACGTCTTATCAAGACTCGATGTCTCTTGACACCTCAAGGAAACCCTGGCAAACTCTGCGAAAGCGGCCCGCCCAAAGTGCAAACGCCGTTATGTCTGTGCCAGCATGGTAATTTCCCTAAAGCAGGGGACCCCAACATAGACCTCAAAATACTACAATCCCTATTATGGCGACCCCCAAAAAGGTACCCCTAATTTTGGGAAACCCCCGCATATTCCAATTCCAAAGCCGAGCAAACTCCAAGGCTGCCTCGCAATGGAGAAACATCCCAGCATGATTTAGGGTTGAGGGTTTAAGGTTTAGGGTGTGTCAGGCGAGGGCGCTTGCTTGGGAATGAAGCGCCCCGGGCCGAGGGCTCGCGTTGCTTGTAAACCCACCCCGGCCACCCAAACTACCCTCTATCAGGGTTCAGGGGTTCCTCTCTGAAGAGGATCATCACCATTACCCTTCATGGTTGATCATACGGCTCTATATACTGACTGACTAAGTCAGGCAGGCGGGCCTTCAGCATGCAAGGCCCCGCATGGGCAGGCTGCCGAAAAATCACCAGCCTTCATGACGGATTCTCTCGGGCGTCCGCTCCGGTTGGGGGTAGCCTGCAGGGGTTGTGGTTCCCCCTGGTTGATCATACGGCCCTCATGACTCATGACCCGAACACCCCCCAACACCCTGGACGAGCAGAACTAAGCTTTAGCGCTTGTGCCTGCAGGCTACCCCCCAACCCAACCGGAGCGGATGCCTGAGGTAATCGGTCATGAAGGCAGGTGACTTTTTGGGCAGGCGTCCCCATGTTCCGCACAAGTGTCCGGGGAACTGTCAGGGAGTATGCCCCAGACACCCCCCCAGACAGCTTGTCTGGGGGCACCCCCGGACGTCCAGGCGGGGGCCCCCGGACGTCTTGGGGAGGTCGCCTGAACCTTAAATCTAAATCCTACACCCTAAATCCTAAACCCCAGATCCTAAACCCTAAGCGCCCTCCAGAGCAAATGGGGCAGGCTTTGGGCTAACGTAAAGGTGGTCTGGGTACGGTCATCCCTTATAGGAGTTCTGACGTTGTCGTAAACAAGGCCTTGTTGGTCTGTCCAGGTCAGACGGTGAGGCTTTGCCCTCACCTTTCCGCTTCTCTTTTCGTATGGGCGCTCGGGCAGTGAGGCCCTCGGCCAATCGTTCGGGGTCTGTCGCTCGACGGTAGCGACCCCTCTCTCATTTTAGGGTGAGCTTTGTTTGGTCTCTTGTGCTGAGCAGCATGCAGAACCTGAGACCGCGATAGGCGGTAGCTCATTCAAAGCACGTGCAAGGTCGGATTGCGTTCGAGGCGCTATAGCGCTGCTAACCTCCGTCTACCTCCCCCCCCTTTGAATTCCACCCTAGACCCTAAGCCCTAAAGCATTTCAGCTACAAGTAGAAGCCAAGTCCTCAGCAAACCCGCGAGTCGCAATCGAGCTCTGGCTTGGAGTGTTCTCACAGCTTTCCCCAAATTAGGGGTACCGCTTTGGTGGATCTCTATAAGAAGGATTATCATATTTTGGGGTCTATCTCGGGGTCCCCTTATTTAAGGAAAGTACCAAATCGAGCTGTGGCGTGGAGCGTCCTCACATTGTTGCTCACATCGAGCATTTGCATGGAGAGTCCTCACATTTCTGCTCAAAATGGAGCTCTTGCGTGGGGCGGCCTCAGATTTTTGTTCCTTAAGCCCTAAACCCTAACCCGTAAACCCTAAACCCCTAAACACCATCAAGTCGATCTGCTCTGGCGCCAAGCATTCTCGACCACACAGTCAAAACAACAACTCACAAACAAAAACACGAATTGCCCAAATAATTGCGGATCCCATGGGATGTAGCCCATGATTAAGGCATTTAAGGACCCAAACCCATGTCCGGTTACAAGCCTTATAAGTGTACAATCTGAAAACACTTGATGTTTCCGTTGCAGGTAGAACCCGCCACGTACGAAGTACAGGTGCTCAGTGGCGCTGATGCCCGCCAGGAGCGGAGTTTTCTCCCAGCTTAGGGCCGGGGACGTTGTAGGGATCATGGACCTCAGGGTTTATGGGTTTTAGCGTTTAGGGTTAAGGTGGCTCTCTGGGTGTTTGCTAGCTGGGCGCTCCATGTTGAGAATCGCCAGGAGGGCATGGGAAATCGTTTCATTTGTATGTATGCGGGGTTGCTTACAATCATCCCCTTGCAACCCTGCATCCACCAGAATTTAGGCAGCGGCTTGAATACTTGCTAAGGCTAAGGTCAGTTTGATGTTTGTTTGAAGTACCTTATACCGCCCTTATGCAAGAAATCTGGAATCATAGTAGTGGTACTTATCCTTACAAACCGTACATAAGCCAAACTTCCATCTAATTTACCTTGTTCTTTTCCATTTGGTTCTCCATTATTGGGACAATACCCCTTTTTCCCCATAATGCTTCGGGACCTCCAGGGTGGGCGGCAATTCAAATTTGGAAAGTTTCGTTTGGGTGCACCCCAAGTGCTCACTTTTCATATTTTTTCATTCTAAACATGTTTGATGTGGTTTGCTTAGATCGCATTCCATCACTCTTGTGACATCCGGGCCGGATTTGTTTTCTAATCCAGCCCCATTCCGGCATGCATCGACTTCCCTTTCACATTCTACCCTAAACCTGAGACCCATTCCATGCCAAAGCATGGGGAACATGAATTCTTCCTGCTCTACCCCTTACAAGCCGGCTCTCAGTCTGTCTGGCCCCAGGCATCCCGATGCAAGACCCCTTAGGGGTTTAGGGTCTGGGGTCTAGGGTTTAGGGTCTAGGGTTGAGAGTTTAGGATTTATGGCCCAGGTAGTGTCCAGGGTGGAGGGTTTTGGGCTTTGGGGTTTAGGGCTAACTGTGTTGGGGCAGGGAACCAGGCCAAAGAAAATGAGTTCCATGCTCGGAGTAATGAGGACCCTAACCCTCATCGTGATGCCCGAGGGATTTGAGGGGATCCTCTCTGTGGAGCAGCATATATAGTTTAACACTAGATCTATAACTTGAACACAACCTACAGAGGTTGGTATGGGCGCAGGGGAGAGGAGAGACAGAACTCATAAAACCTGAAGCGTTTAACTCTGCATCCAATTCTAAAATCTTATAGTCCCCCTGAAGTAGATAGAATATAGGATATATGGGGATCTTATTAGTTCATAATAATATACTCAAACCCATATCCTATCTACTGAAGGGGGACTATATAGCCATCCTGCAGTAGATCGAAGGGAAGCTGGGAAGCCCAGAGGAAAGCATTCGGAACCGTCGTCGCTTCCATTCAGTCAACTCCATGAGTTTTGACCTATGCGCTGAAGCGTACAGAAGCTCTCAAAATCCTAAAGCAAGGACCATCTAATCCCACTACAAGTCCCATGTGGCCCCAGTGTCTCCAAAACCGCCGTTTATTGAGAAACTCTAACACCCTCAATCCCAAACACAATGTATTCCTACATCGTCTTTTTGAGACATCCCCGGCACTTATCATGGGTTGCTGTTAAGGAACCCAAGTTAAGTTACTATATTGGGGAAAACACATTAATTACTACATTTACCCATTATGCCAACTTAATTTAATTTCCTTGACAACAACCCAATATGGGAGGAGGCTCTGAGCTTCACCGGCGCCACCTGCGAAGAGCCAACAACGACAACGACAACAGAAGAGACAACGACGACCACGGAGTCCTCCCCATTGGAAGAGACAACCTCATTTCAGGACGCTATAAGGTTTTACACGTGTCAGCTATTTAGAAGGCCTCAGAGCTTGCAGCATTAAGAGTTGCAGTTCGTTGCTAACGGTTTGACGAGTTGCGGCATGTGCTTATGCGTTTCAAGGGTTAAGTCTAGGGTCTGGAGTAGATTTTAAGCTGGGCGTGGTCTAGGGCTCTTGTGCCCTTTTTTCACTTGCCCGGTTTATGTTATTGTCGATTTTCAGGTTTGAAGTCTAAGCTCGTTGCTATCTGCTGTGAGAACCATGAACTGTAGTAATTTGCAAACCGTAGTGTAGAAAAGTGCATGCTACTATGCTTTTCGGGGTAGGTTGTACTGCAAATAGATATTTAATACCGTAGGAAGGAATGTAGAACCTCAGATCTTCAATACTAGGAAGGAATGTAGAACCCCAACAGCCCACTTCACCCCCTTTAGTGCCATTCGTTGCGGTCCTGGCCAGCAATAAACCTTAAAAGCCATCCCTTCACGATCCCCTTTGTTCCAATTTTTGAAGGCCATGACTTGCCCAGACCGATTACGATTACAGTTGCCATTACTCATTACTGTGCCTATATTACTACAGACTATTACTTCCTTTTCTACTTGCCACCGGCTTTTCCCTTGACTCCGAACACCTTTTGCTTTTCCTTTGTTTTTTTCTTTGGCCCATGTTCTCGGGCCACGGTCGAGATACATGGAGTGTGGGGCCCTCTGGACCCTTTTGGGACAGCACGTACCCCTATTGACATGATCCTTGCTTGGAGCGGCCGCGGGGCACCCAATTCGAGATTGAGGTACCGCACACATTCCTAGGGCCGCTAGCTTACCCTAGGGATCCAAGTATACAAATAATACGTACATTGGGCCCTAAAGTCTGTAAATATGACCTACGTTGGGCTAGTTGGATCCCTAAGGCTATTCCCCCCTCCCAGCTGTAGGGTCTCCTTGCGAAGGAGTCGGCATCGCTGTTTGCGTTCTCGACCTGCCACAACACCTTAACTGGACCTTGTTCCCACCCCCCCCAAAAGGGTGTGGAACCCGAAGTAAGCATTCCTGTGAATAAGCCGGCCAGCGAAAAAGCCCTCCTCCCCCCCGAAACAAAAATTAACTACCCCAACGAAAAGAAACTGCCCTGAGCCATCGACCGGACGCCTCGGGCCCAGAAAATTGGCTGCTGTTAAGGAACTTCAACTGAGTTACCATGATATGGGATATATGGTAAATAATTGGAAGTGCTTTTGAGGTAACTTAACTTAAGTTCCTTAACAGCAGCCCAGGAAAACCCTAGAGAGCACCCGGGTGACAAAGCGCTGACCACACGGGTTGCCCCCCGCCATCGAGCGACCCACCGCATGATAGCGCGTGCTTCAGGAACAACCCAGTGCAAGACCAAGAGGACCAAAAAGGGAAAGCACCGACGCTTCCGCACCCAACGGTGCCAGGAGAGTTGGGCCAAGACAGCGCTGAAAGGTGATGGTCAGCGATGGTCCTTTCCCGCTCCCCCACCGTGCCACCCACCCAAAACCCACTGTGCATGAATCGGGAAACTTTCGCAGGACGCGGGTTGGGGTTTGCTCGCACTCCCGTGTGTTAAAACTTGACTAGATTGATTCACTAGACAGGTGATTGTCAAGAGTCGAGAGATGCCTGTCATCAATGTCTTACAGTGTACAGGGATAGTGTTCAGGCAAAGAACAGTACAAGTCGGCAGCGACACTAAGCAAGCAGAAAGCCCCCCAGCCTCAAAGCCTGCCTCTGGCACACAGCCGCTCTCCATTGCCCGGGACCCGGACACAAGGAGGCCGAAGACCATCAGTGGCTCCCGTTGTCCCGCCCAATAACCCACCAACCGACACCGTGCATTCCATTCCGGGGAGGTGGTGTTTATCTTGGGGGGCTTCGAAAGCTTTAGGTTTTTCAAAGATGTTTGAAGGCTTAGGGTTCCGGCCTTAGCGGGTTCAGTGTCTGAGGTGGGGCCCCAAGGTCCAATCAGCTGCACGAAGTTGATTGTACTGTATGCTAGTGCCGGCGAAGGGAGTGGTATTTCAGTCTTTGGGTTGCTTTACGGAAATCAATTTCCTAATCCGAAGCGTCTGTGTCCTATTCAAGGGCTTTCTTTTTACCAAGGACTCTACTTGGATCATATACCCATCCTCCTAACCCCCCAAAAAAACATGTTGGGAATCATGGGAATCATGGAGTGAGAAGCTCTTATCTGGTTTGGCCTTGCCAAAATGCACCTGTCGCGTTCATCACAAGGAATAGTAAGAGCAGCCACCATCATGACAAAAGCCACCGCGAACGCACCACAGCCGCCACCGCTGCCGCCAGCAGCAGCAGCAAAAGAAGGAAGAAGAAGAAGAAGGTGGGAGTCGTCGTCGCCGACAGGTAGCCCTTTTCCGTTCAATAAGTCGTGACGGACCTGCACGTGGGGCGCGTCGGCCCGGCGGCGGGGGAATAACGTCCTATACCCGATGACGTAAGACCGTCTGAGTCGAGAGGGCTAGGGCATAAGGGCGGGTAGGGAAGTGAAGTTTAGGCCAGGAGGCAAGCCTACCAGAGCTCTCATTGGAAATCCTGGCATCCGAGTTGCACAGAGACCCTGATGTGACGCCCAAACTCCAGTCCGTCGACCTCGCGGGTTCCACGTAGGATCACGTAGGAGCATCCCTACCTTGAAGGCTCCCGATATGAGGTCCCGCTCCAAACCCCACTCCCAATTTACATGAGCATGCTCGAGCATGAGATTTTCCGTTCCTATCCGAAGGGAGGTCATAGGCACAGCGCGTCCCTGAATCCCCCTGTGCTTTCCTGACAGGCCTGAAAGCCAAATATTCCTTACTACCGTTCCCTGATTTGTCCTAAACCCTACACCCCTAAACCCACAAGCCCTAAGCCCCTAAACCCTAGACCCCCATATGACCCCCGGCCCTGCCTCAGGGTTGGGAAGACGTGGAGCCTGTCCCACGCCCCGGGCCATTCAAGCAGCTGAAGCAGAGAATCTCGGGCCGCGGGACGCGCGAGGCGGAACGTGACTGGGTTGCTGCGAAGGAACTTAAATTTAAGTTACCATAGTGGGTGTATAAATATATATATATATAGTACTGAATAGGGTTTCCCCAAGATAGTAACTTAAGTTAAGCTCCTTAAGGACAACCCAGGTGACGGATGGATGGATTTCTTTCGTTGGGGCCTCCTCCAGCGCAGCGAGGATAACAAGCTGGTTCAGGGTTTAGGGTTTAGGTTTTAGGGTTTTGGGATTTAGGGTTGGGTTTTGGGGTTTGAGGATAGTTATGGTAACCAGTATTACCATTATTACGATTATACTTCTTTTGTTACTATTATGATTCTTACTATTATTCATATTTTTATCCTTACTATTATTGCTACTATTATTCTCACTATTACTATTATTGTTATTGTTTTTACTATTGCTATTATTTATTTATTGTTACTAATATTTCGGGTGGCAGAGCAGGTCAGGTAGATATTTTTAACCCTTCGGAAGCTGTGGTAGTATGATTGGTAGTGGTGAAATGCACAGCTGTTCCTGTAAAGCAGCGGGTGCCCCTCTTCCATGCGAAGCTCCTCAATCATGTTCCTAAACCTTAAACCCCAAGCCCTAAACCCTAAACCCTAAGCCCTAGTGTTCTTCTGCAATCGTTTCACAGCCAAATCCAGAGGTTGCCACCTGAACCTCCAGGCTGAGATCTTGATAGCTGACTATTTTGGGGGGTTTAGGGTTTCTAGGGTATAAGGTTTAGGTTTTAGGGTTGCTATGGTTTGTTGCTTGTAGGGTTTATAGAGTTTAGGCTCGAAAAAATTGATCAGGGTCTGAGGAGGCTAGTTACTGGTGGCAGGGGATTCACCCCTAGATGACCTGTATAACTCTGGTTTCCATGTCGTTTTCCTTGTGACTCTCCAGTATCCCTAAGCACTGAACCCTAAAAAGTGTAGTAGTAGTCTCCATTGTCTTTCCCATTCCCCTATAGACCCCGTTTTTGGCGGACTGGGTTAAACAGGAGCCAGGGGAAGGGCAGTTGCCGGAAGATTGGAGCGCCAAGCTTCCTGCGAGCTGCCGACATCATGTGAAACCAGCAGCTGGACTTTCTTTAATGTTGGGTGTAGGGTCTTTTCCCAAGCAACTATTCTACAATGTTTCTGCGGGTCACGTATGGGTCATGCGGATCATGCACAAATTGTGGGGCTCCTTCCCTGTGTCCGTCCTAAAAGGTCTGGGCCACTGATAGGATTTCGTATGTGTATGTTGCCCAAAAAACTTATTCCAAAAGTCTGCATTTTGTAAATAAGGGGACCCCAATATAGACCCAATATATTATACTCCTTATGGTAGGGACCCCCAAAAAGGTACCCCTAGTTGTGGGAAACCGCCATCTTAGTCAGGCTTAAAAGCAAAAGCCTTGATTTGCGTTTCTGGAACCGCTCCTGGCCACTATAATGCGTCTTCCTGTACCGTAATGTAAGTGAAGGAATTTTTTCAGGGGGTAGAGAGGCTAGGTAGGAGAAAGGGATGCAGTTAATCATCTTCATTGGCACGCGCGTGGGGGACAAAGCCATTGTTCATGACCTCATGGGATTTCTGGTCGGCACTTATGATGAACTGATGGACAGGGTCTTCCCGGACAGACAGAGAGAGAGAGGGAGGAATAGAGAAGAGTGTCATTTGCTGACGCTTCCTCCTTCCTTCTACATTTTGCGACAAGGGAGCTGCCATGGGGTGTAAGCTCAGCGCACCCCCTTCGGGACTGCGCGTGGCGTATGAAGAAGAAAGCAGAGTTGGAATCCTTCTTGGATCCGTGTGCTGAGTTGTACTGTTGTGCCCCTGGGTGCCTGCATGTCGTGGTTTCGGTTTCTGTTCTAAAGGAGAGAGCGCTACAACCATTTGTTAGGGGCCTGTCCGGGTCAACCTCAATTCCCAACCCTGAAAGCTAGGATGCTAAGCGTCAGACCCCAACCAGCAAGCTTCAATCCTAACATATTATGATATATTATAATCTAATATATTATATTATACTATAATATAGCACAACACAACATACTATGCTGTATACTACATTCCATTTTAATATAGAGCTTACAGAAGCTCTAACTGCGAAATCTCCTCCAAGGGTTTAGGATTTAGGGTTCCCGCCCGAAATGCGAAGCCTATCTGGAAACTTCAAGCGAGGAAGAGGCGCAGGAGCATGAGCAATCGGTACGCGCCAGCCTGCAGGAAGCTCACTCATGTTTAGATGTGTAGTGTGTTGTGTTTTTCTTTTTTCTGGCGCTATTGCAAGGAAGTTTCTCCTCGTCCTGAGTTCTTTTAGTGAGTCGTCATAATCTTGTTGAGAAAGTTCAATGTCTCTAGATGTACAGGTCTTACAGGGGTTATATCACGTTTCGAGGGGCAAGCATAATACTTTCAGGATCTGGTAGATACTTCAGAGGTCCATCACTAACTAATGATACTCTCCCAAAACAGCTTGTCATCGTGAGTGGAGTTTAAGGTTTACGGGTTTGGGAGTTCAAAATTTGATGCTAGGGCTAGGGTTCTAAGATACGACGTGGCCCAAGAGATCAAAGGCATCCCCCCGTATGAGCATGGCCACTGAACTCGGGGTAGGATTAGCCTTAAGCTCTAAATCCCTACACCCTAAACCCTGTATAATCCCGATATAACCCTATACAATCCCTATATTCCCCTATAAAACCCTACCCTAAACCCTAAACCCTAAACCCCAATCCCCGATCCCCTATATAACCCCCTAATACTGGACTTGTGCAACTTTGCATCCTGCCCTCCTGCTAAACAGGGTCGAGGAAGTGCTAGGACTTTCCTTTTGTACAAGGAAAATTAGGGTTTAGGGTTTTTAGGGTTTAGGGTTTAGGGTTTACCGTTAACCCTAAACCTTTAGAGTTTAGTGACACGCAACCTAAAACTCATCCTGTCTATTCCAGCCCAGAGTGGCTATCCTTGAACAAGAAGAACTTATCATATATTATATAAGGTTTATATAGGGTTATATAGGGGAAAAAAGGAATTATATAGGGTTATATAGGGGTTTTGCTTCTAGCACAAAGCCAATGACTTACATCAGCTAGTTTTGTTCCCAAACCCGCAAGGCCAGTGCAACTTTTCAGGCGGTTCGTAAGCTCTTCAGCTACAAGCGGGAGCGAAAGGTGAGTTCGATTTGTTTGCACATTTGCAATTTCCTAGAAGCCCTGTCACCTACATATAGATCAGTTACGGCTCCTTAGTCCCCTTGTGCATGTACATTATTTGCACCTAAACCCATACAAAGACCTCTATGACCCTCTAAGGCCCTATCCATATATTAAACTATCTGTCTACACCATGGACGCCTAACAACCCTCATCCCTAAGGCAATCCCCTAGGACCCTATGAGACCCGCGAACATCCTGCGAAATAGGGGTTCTTTTAGGCCACATAACTCTTTCGTTCTGAGGGTCCCCCCCATTTTGAGAAAGCCTTAAGCCATGATCTCTGAACTATAGGGTTTAGGGTTTAGGGGTTTAGGGTTTAGGGTTTAGGGTCCGCCAGCGCAGCGGGCGCCCTAGGCACTCGCTGGCTCAAAGGTGGCCTAAACCTTTCTGCGTAATCGTGTGCCGGCCAAAGCATTTCTGCGTAATTTGTCTTCTTTGTGTGTCATCGTGTGCGGTGCCTGCCAGCGCAATGGGCATTCTGGTCAATCACTGGCTCAATGGGCGTTCTGGTCAATCACTGGCTCAAAGGGGGCCTAAACCTTTCTGCGCAATCGTGCTCGGGGCCAAAACATTTCTGCGTAATTTGTATTCTTTCTGTGTCATCGTGCGCGGTGCCTGCCAGCCTTTTGGGCCCAGCTCTGGAAAACAGATTTGTTTTCCGTAGCCTTTTTCACCTTTTGGGCCCAGCTCTGGAAAACAGATTTGTTTTCCGTAGCCTCTTTCACCTTTTGGACCCAGCTCTGGAAAACAGATTTGTTTTCCGGAGTCTTTTTCACCTTTTGGGCCCAACCCTGGAAAACAGATGTGTTTTCCGTAGCCTCTTTCACCTTTTGGACCCAGCTCTGGAAAACAGGCGTCGGGATAATGCACATCTCCGGACGCTTATGCATGGTTTCCCAGTCGGGCGCCTATACCCGATTTCCCACTTGGGGAAAATGCAAGATTCATGCCACGAGTCTGTAAATTAGGTCAAAAGATGTTGAAAGTTGCGTAAAAAAACGCCAAATTGATGCCAGAAATGTTAGAATCGACTCCAAAATAGAATCTTTGTTAGAGCCCTCAAGAGAACCCCTATTCAAACCCTTGTAGGAACCCCTGCTAGAAGCAATCTTGTAATGTCTATCCTTAAAGAAACACGCCCTATAGAACCCAGATTATATCCCCTGTAAAACCCCTAATACAACCCCATTAGAACCCCTATTAGATCTCTTACTAGAACCCTCATAAGAGCCCCTATTAGAACCCCCATTATAACCCTTACTATACCCCCTATTATACTCCTTATCAGATCCCCTAGTAGAACCCTCATCATCATTGCTGTAAAATATTTGGGATTTTGAAATCTGATATTTCTGGACCGTAGAACCACCTCCCCTCTCCCCCTTTCCTTCCCCCTC